TCCTTTGGACTGGGGTCCCTGCGCTGAGAAGCTCCTAGTCCGGGGAACACCAAAGAGAAGAAGTGCCGACAGAGAGAAAAAGCCTTCCCCTGGAGCTGATGCCCTGAATTTGGACTTTTAGCCTACTTTGACTGTGAGGAAATAAACTTCTCTTCGTTAAAACAAAAAAAAAAAAGAATTGGTGAATCAGTTTAAGCCAATCAATTTGCAAGTAACTGATTTATAAATTAGAATACCAATTTATTAATCTGTGATGATTGCTGTATTAAAGAAAGGGTCTCCTGCGTTAATACTTTTTTCTTAATGCATAGATATAATATTCAGACTCAACTAATATTTGTTAGTAACATAGTCTGTGTACCTGATTTTCCATACTTCATTTAATCCTTGCAACAACTTTATGAAGTGTGAGAATACCTCTCACAGCTGAAGAAAGAGATTCAGACAGGTTAAATACAAGATTATCAGTAAAATAGCTAGACTGGGAATCAAATCCAGGACTTCTGCCTCTTGAGTTTCATGCTCTTTCTACCCTGTAACACCTCACTGAGGTGTGGTTTCACTTTATATACATTCTTATTGTAGTCACAGATTCACTTTTTAAGAAACTATCCCTACTGAAGAGGTGAACTTTGGACTAGGGTAGTCTACCCTCTGGTGCAGAGATCTGCAGTCTCAGCCATATGGTCTGAATGAGTATGTGGTTTATCTGAGATGGAAGCTTTTCTGTGTGTATGTGGGGAGGAGTACTTATGTTTTATTTAAAACATAAAATCTCTCCTTAGAGGATTACTGAACTAAAACTCAAAAACCCAGTGCCGTTGAGTCGATTCTGACTCTTTGCAACCCTATAGGGTCTAAGGCTGTAAATCTTCATGGAAGCAGACTTCCACATCTTTCTCCCTCAGAGCAACTGGTGGGTTTGAACCACGATCTTTTAGTTAGCAGCCCGGAGCTTAGCCACTGCGCCACCAAGGCTCCTTTACTGAACTAAATCCTATATTAAAAAGATGATATATCCAAAGTATAATTTGGTACCATCTTTCTGTTCCTTAACTCTGATAAACGTATTCTGATAATTACTTTTACTGAAAGGTCTTGATTAGAGTATTTGGACTTATTCTTTAAGAAATATCTTTCTTTTCTTTAGGATCTGTTTTACTGATTTACATGTTTTGTTTCCTTGAAATTATGTTAAGTCCAAAATGAAAAAGCAGCACAAATTATTTATTTCTTAGGAACTTGTATTTGACTTACTCCCTAGAAGATTTGTAATAAGTTAAGATCCTTTAATAGCACGAGGGGTAATAGGACAGAACTCTTGCAGCTGGTACTCAAATTAGTATTTTAGTTCTGTGCAAGCTGCTTCAAGTGTTTTATAGTTAATATTCTTTTGGCCTTAGAGACTAAAATAAAGATACTTGTTAAGGGTCATAAATGGATAAAACATTTGAATGACCTACTTTCAGAAGACTTCTATAGGGTTTATCAACCTAGAAGGGTTAGACATTCTGTAGTTAGCTTTGTTTCTTTTTATCATTTTATAGAACTGCTTGTTAACAATTTTGTTTCCCGTATAGAAGTTACCCCCCAAACGTCCAGAACTCCCTCCAGCTCTAATGAGAATGAAAGATGAGCCTGAAGTAGAAGAAGAAGAGGAAGAGGAGGAGGAGGAAGAGGAGGTGAAGAAGTGTGAAAAGAAAAAAATGGAGGATGGAAGCAGTGGGCTGCAGCAGGAGATAGAGCCAGAAGCAGCAGTCCAGGAAATGAGTCCTCCCACAGACTTCACGTGTTCTAAACAAACAAAAGACCATGGTAATGTCTTTCCTCTCCTTCCTGTGCTATTCAGTGGGACAGTTGCATTCACTGTGGGTAGGCTTGAAAAAGGAAACCCAGTTCTTGCTTGTGCCTTTTGGTTGTGTATATGTGATAAAGCTGACTCTGTGGTAAGGAACCATACTTTCTTGATCTTCTTCCTTTGACCGCCAGTCGTTATTTGTCCCCATTGCAAATTAAGGGCAGATATTTCCAACCCGTTCCAGTACTACTGAAAACTGAATGCTGTGGAGTCTCAAGCCATAGCTGGTACAGGACAATCCCAAGCTGTTGCCGTGGTATGAGTTGGAGGGCAGTGGAATAGGGTGGATGATGGAGCCTGATCATGTGTTCTGGGGATAAGCCTCCCCTTACTCATTTTTTTCCCATCCCTAAGACAGAAGTTAAGTGTAATTATACCCACTGGACTAAACTTCTCAAAAAGGATCATGCCTTATTCTTTTTTTTTTTTGGTCTTTGGTACTTAGCAGAGAACCTGGCACATAGTATTCTCCCACTTCAGCAAAGATTTTTTTTTTTAATTGTGCTTTAGATGAAGGTTTTTTACAGAGCAAATTAGTTTCTCGTTATACAATTAATACCCATACTGTTTTGTGACATTGGTTGCCAACCCTGCGACATGTCATTTCAGCAAAGATTTGGTGACCGGTATTGAAAGAAGAAATTGATTTTTAAACATCTTTTTCTGATTATAAAAGGAATTTATGTCCACTACAGAAATTTTAGGTAATACATAAAAATCCAAAGAAGAGAAATCTCCCACAACCCCACCCCCAGAGATCGTTGTTTATTTTTCTAAATCCTCTTGCCCCTTGTCAACTACAGAGGTTGTTTTCCTGAGAAATACTACCAAGGTTAGCCAAACTGCTTAGCAAGATTAAGATATCACAGAAAATAGGTAGCATGAGGAACAACAATAAAAATTGGCATTAAATGTGCGTGGGAGTGCTTGCGTGTGTACTGTCGAAACAAACCAGGCTTGTCTACATAAAAACACCAGGCCTACATGCAGCCCTTCTCTTGAATCACCTTCTGTTGTTTGAGAAACATAAAAGTTACTATTTCCTTATCTGTGAGAGGTAAATCTTTTGTATTTACATTCTCCTTTGTTTAGATATTGGCAAAATGCCTGGCCGTTTCAAAAATATTGAGGTACTTACACATACTTTCTTTCTGAGTCTGCTCCTTGATCCATACATTGTGAGGGTGATACATAAACAGATTTCTTACCACCACCCACATGGTCATCAGGAAGGGGAATAATAATTATTGTGTTAAGGAGACTGAAGTAAACGTGTATGTAAAAATATTACAGATTTTAAAATTTGATTTATAAGATGATATGCTGCTGATGAGGGATATACTAGTCCTTTTCTTCCCTGTATTTATTTTTTACAGCGTTGAGATTGTGTTACGCGTATTAATTTATAATCTGTTTTTCCTGTGTCTTAAAATAGGCTTTTAAAATGTGATTTTTAATAAGGGGCATAGTGGCCCATAACATGCATGTGCCAGAATTAATCAGCTCCCTAGTGTTAGACACGTAGGTTATTTCTTCATTTTTTGCTTTTATAAACATACTTGTATAATAAATCTTGGTGCTTATCTCTGATTATTTTCTTTGAATAAGTTCCTAGAAGTATAATTTCTAGGCCAAAGAATATGCACGCTTTTAAGGCTTTCGTAAGTATTACCAAAAATTGTGCATCAAAGTTGGCCAGTTTTTTAAGTGGAAAATGTGTGGTTCTTTGGTAGACATCTGGAAGCACATTTATAGAAAACCTAATTAAGGTTGGTAGAAGCTGATGATAGTAAAACTGGATGATTATGTCTGTACTTAGCTGTTTTTGTTTTGTTTTGTTTTCTGGGCTATCCACCATGAGCTAGATAATAATAATATGCTTGGTACTACTTTGTATAGAAAGCATGTCTCAACTCAGCCAGGTGGCGTGGAATGAAGATGACCAAGAGACTAGTGAAACAGCTCCATCACTGCAGGAGCCCTCAGGCAAGTAGTACAGCCTGCTTCATTGCTCCTCTGCACACAAGCAGCCATCTGGTTTTTGGAGGAGAGAGAGAGTGGCCTTAGAGACCCTGGGTCAGTGCTGCTTCCAGGGCCCTGAATAAAACTGGATAATGTGGGACGTTTGGGTTTGGTGCTATCCCATTTGCCTTTCTTTATTCTTCTTCTACCTCCTGGGTTCCCTGTCGTTGACCTACAAAGCACCTAATGCTTTTATGCTTCCCTCTGGCCATGCAAAGCACTTCACAATTTTACATCTCCCAGAATTAAATTTAAATAGGTGCCTGTCATGGGTGTCATTCCAACGCTATTAGAAGAAATTGGATGAAATGTCGGCCTAGTAAAAGATTTCTTTTTTCTGGTTTTACTGGTAATGGTTAAACTGTGCCATAGTAAAATCAGCCTCATTTTCCTTTGCCTTTTCAGATGGTGTGATTCCGTGCAAGCTTGTAGCATAGCCTTAGGATTTGAAAACTAGTTATTATTGAAGGGAAAAGTCTCTCTTCTTCATATAGTTTTTACTGTAGTAGAAGAAATTTTTGAGAATTGATTTGTCATTGACATGTTTTATTTGATAATTATGATGCTTTCTTATGAGGAACTTTTCCTTTATTACTTTTTTCTAAAAATAGCTACTGCCTCTTTTTCCTTTTTTTTTTTTTAAAAAAAAAATAGCATTAAAGAATGAATGTGAGAAAAGCAGAGATGAATTGAAGAAAAAGAAAGCTGCAGGTCCAAGCAAGGTAAGTAAAGATGAATCCCTTTGTCGTGGACCACATCCAGAAGGGGTCTCTTTGAGGACTGCATTTAGCAGAGTTCTCAACTGCCTCATTACCCCATCTCCTAGGAATTTGGGCTCTCGTTTATTTATTTTCTAAATTTTATTTATTTTATTGTTTTGAGAATATACACAGCAAAACACACACCAATTCAACTATTTCTACATGTACAATTTAGTGGCATTGATTACATTCTTTGAGTTGTGCAGTTGTTCTCACCCTCCTTTTCTGAGTCATTCCTCCCTCATTAACATAAGTTCACTGCCCTCTAAGGTTCCTATCTAATCTTTCAAGTTGCTGTTGTCAGTTTGATCCCATATAGATAGCTGTTAAAAGAGCATAATGCTCAAGGCAGACCTTTTTTATTAGTCTAAACTATTGTTTGATTTTAAGATGACTTCAGGGGATATTTTTGGTTAAAGGTTACCTCAGGGCATTAGTGTCAGGGGTTCATCTACCTTCCATAGCTCCAGAAAGTCTAGAGTCCATGAGAATTTGAAATGTTGTTCAGTATTTTCCCCTTTTTGATCAGAATTCTTCTATGGAATCTTTGATCAAAATGTTCAGTAATGGTAGTTGGGCACCATCCAGTTCTTCTGGTCTCATGGCAGAGGAGGCAGTTGTTCATGGAGGCATTTAGCCACACATTCCATATCCTCCTCCTATGCCTGACTGCCCTTCTTCCTCTGTTGCTCCAAATGAAGAGACCAATTGTTGTGCCTTGGATGTCTCTGGCAAGCTTTTAAGACCCCAGGCACTATGAAAGGAGCTAGGAGGTAGAATAAAGCACTAAACACATCATTAGGCCAGTTAACTGGGATGTCCCATGAAACCATGACCCTAAACCTCCAAATCAAGGAACCAAATCCCATTAGGTATTTGGTTGTACATAAGCAGCCTCAGCAGCTACTCTTTTTCTCTTTTATTTTTGAATTTTTGTGTTTTGAATTCTTACTGTAACCCTAGGCCCCATCCACTCTGTTCCCAATAACTCCTCACATACAAGTTACCTTTTTTGTTTGTTTGTGACTCCTTCATATCCTAGTATGCCACACAAGGACATTTGAATTATATTATTATTTTCTTCCTTTTAATATACAAAAGATAGAGTGTAATGTATTCCATTCTACATGCTGTTTTTTTCAATCTATATCAGTACATCAGGGGCTTTCTACTGTGTGGATGTGCCCTAGTTAACAGTTCCTCATATGTGGACACATGGGACTTTTCCAGTCTTTTACTATGAGAACAGTGCTATAACAAATAACCCTGGGTATAAATAATTTTGTATGTATACAGTAAATTCTCACAAGTCAGATTGCTAGGTCAAAAGGCAAAGGCCAGATTGCCCTCTGCAGGGGTTATGCCATTTAGCATTCATACCAGCAATGTGTCAACTGCCACTTGTTACACATCACTCTCACTAGCTGAAAATCAGCTCACTAAGGCTTGATGGAAACAACGTTCAGAGAGAGAATGCTCCCCTAAGTAGATTACTTATGTCAGGATCATTAATGGAAGCTGCTGTGTTAGTGTTTTTTGCTGGCAGCCATAAGGACAATAATTCTTAGCGTTGAAATTATTCTGACTGAAATAAAGCATCTTTTCTTTGCAGCGTCCACCAACACTTTCCTCCAAATATCCAGAAGATGATCCAGACTACTGTGTATGGGTCCCACCTGAAGGTAGAGTGTTTTTACTTTTTTTTTTTCTTTAAGTTTTATTTAACTTGTATTTTTGATAGGTAATATATATTTAAAGTTGAAAATAAGAAAATTACAAGAATATGTAGTGAAAATTCTTCCTCCTAGGGGAGCGGGTAGATTAAAAGATCTAGAGACATATCAGCCAGATGTAATCTCTGGGCTCTGATTGGATCCTTATTCAAATAAACAACTGTTAAAAAAAATCATGAGCCAGTTGGATAAACTTGAACACTGGCTGGATATTTGATGATCCTAAGAAATTATTGTTAATCTTTTTAAAGTGTGATAATGATGCTGAGTTGTGTTTTTTAAAAAACTGCTTGCTTTCTGGAAATATATACAGAAGTGTGCACAGTAGAATGACTTCTGGGATTTACCTTCAGTAATCCAGTGGTGGAGGAAGAGGCAAAGTGGGGAAGCGTTAAAGAGAGAAAGCAGGATCGGCCACATATTGATATTTGTTAAAGCTGGATGATGGGTACATGGGAATTCACTATATTTTTCTCTTTACTTTTGTATATATTTTCAATTTTAAGTTAAATAAAAAATTCTTCTGGCTGTACCTCATCCATCCAGTTTTTTTCTCTAAATACAACCAAATATTATCAGTTTCTTAAGAATTCTTAAGTACATATTATATAAAATGTCTATAAAGGAAGTTAAATATGTAGTACTTAACCTCCTCCCCCCCACCCCTTTCTTTTCCGCAAATGGACACATACTCTTCACCTTTTTTGCACTCAACACTATATATCTTGGATATCTTTCCATAGTTATTTTTAGATTTCTTGTTCTTTTTTATGGCATCAGTGTTCTTTTTATGGTATGGATATACCTTTGCTTACTTAACCAGTTCCCCTGATGGACATTTATGTGTTTGTAGTCTTTTGCCATTACAAACAATTCTGCATAAGTGAACTCTAACATATGTAATTTTGCAAGTGTAGAGATCTATCTGTAGAATAATATTCATAAAAGCTAACTTGACGGATCAAAGGCTCCGAACATTTTTAAGATGTTGTCAGATTGCATTCTACAGAGATTTACCAGTTCGCCGCCCTTAAGCAGTGTATGAGGTGTGCGTCACAGGTTGCTTTTTCTCTGGATTGGGTTTCTAATATACTTTGTAATTAATTAATAGAAATTTAGTTACTAGACATATTTGCTTTTCATCTGCTAGTAAGTGCAAAGATAGGAGTAAAAAGAGGGCTGTGTTTTGAACTTGTGTACAAAAAGTAAAATTTTTATCATAGAGGAAAACTCTTTATCTGTTTATTTTGGCTTATTGATGTCTAGATACAGTTTTTCTCCCTAACTTTGGAAAGTGAATGTATTTCTTTCTTTCTTTTTATGTAATCTAGGCCAAAGTGGTGACGGCAGGACCCATCTTAATGACAAGTATGGCTATTGATTGCTTCAGAATCCCAAAAGAAGATCTTGTGGACCATGTGACATGGGATACTTGGGATAATATGTCAAGTTGAATGGCAAGAGAAGAAGTTAACATGATCACTTGTAAAATCTGGTGACCTGGCTTCTGTGCTCTTCATTTCCTAAATTTATCTACCCACTTGATTCATCTCCTGAATTTGGTATTTATAAGTGTTTGTGTATGTATGTTTGTAAAAAAGGAACCATGTATTTTGAAAATAACTAAAATGAGAAAAGTGACCCAATTAAAACAAGAAGGTGAGGTCATTTCTAATGTTGATTTAAGGTCACAGACTCTTTTATCAAGTCTTAGGGACTGTGCTTTTCATGAGCAATAGGCTACTTCTGGAGTTAGGCTCTAGAATTCACTGATGTTGCTTCCTCAAATAAGTGTTAAAATGTAAGGTCATGCAGTATTCTGGAGAGAAAAGGCCAGGAGTATGTATTTAGCCATGATATTTTCAATCGCCTCATATGCATGGGAAAGCTGGATAATTAATAAGGAAGATTGAAGAAGGATTGATGCATTTGAATTAAAGTGTTGGCGAAGAATATTGAATATACCATGGACTGCCAGAAGAATGAACAAATATGTCTTGGAAAAAGTACAGCCAGAATGCTCTTTAGAAGCAAGGATGGTGAGGCTTCATCTCACACACTCTGAATCAGGAGGGACCAATCCCTGGAGAAGGGCATCATGCTTGGTAGAGAGCGAAAAAGAGGAAAAACCTCAACAAGATGGATTGATACAGTGGCTGCAACAATGGGCTCAAGCATAGCGACGATTGTGAAGATGGCACAGGACCGGGCAGTGTTTCATTTTGTTGTACATAGGGTTGCTATGCGATGGCACCAAACAACAACAACATGGATTTAGCATTAAAACAAGTTCCTTTGTCTACTTTAGGAATTTTCTAGGGACCTAAAACTTGCCTAGAAAACCAAAACTTCTCTTCTCTTCACCATTTTTTATTAAAAAAACGGTAGCTAAGATTTATTTAGTGCCCCCAACGTGCCAGGCACTGTACTAATGCTTTGGATCGTGAGAGGATCAGATAGTGTGTTTGAAAACTGTAATTTGCTATGTAACTATTGAGATGTGGTTTATTCCCTTTGCTAT